AGGTAGGGACGTTCAGCAAACATGAAGTCATGTTGGATGAAGCAGAGATTTATCTACAATTAACTCAAGAAAAGTACTGAGATGTGTTGTTATAGTAAAATACAAACTCTGCCTCCTTTAAGACAAAAATTAAACAAAATGACCCAAGTTTGAAATTCATTCAAGATGTTTAGTTTCAACAAAGTACTCTTAAAAAAGAGACTTTTGGAACATTTAATTTTAGGAAAAATACAAAGTTTGTTTTGAATATTTATCTAGTGGTTTTCAAAGTTTGTATGCTTCATATTAAACATTTTCACTTTAAATTTTCTTTGCATTTTGTGTTGTGCTTCTCTTCAGGCCCGACCTGATTGATTTTGACAAACTTAAGAAATCCAACGCTCACTACAACCTGCAGAATGCCTTCAACCTGGCTGAGCAGCACCTCGGCCTCACCAAGCTGCTGGACCCTGAAGGTGACAAACATCTCACCAAAACACGGTCTTTTATCAACACGCCTTACTGTCGTTATATCTGTTATATCGTGTGCGTGCACAGACATCAGCGTGGACCACCCTGATGAGAAGTCCATCATCACCTACGTGGTCACCTACTATCACTACTTCTCCAAGATGAAGGCGCTGAAGGTGGAGGGGAAGAGGATCGGCAAGGTGATGAAATGATTCACAACACCTCAGATCAGATCAGGCAGGAGAAACATTCATGGCTTTGACAGTAATATTTTTATGCACATTTTTTCTGTTCATGCACCTGCTAATAAAGAACTTATTCATGTAGTTATTTCTGCTGTGCTTTGGTGTAAACCAGGCGTGCCCAATACGTCGATAGTGATCTACCGGTCGATCACAAAGGCTTTATGGGTGGATCGCATGGAATAAAAAATGAAAGTCAGCCTATCCTCACTATGAAATTTGTCACTTGACTGACATACAGGGCAGCCAGTCACAGCCCACATTCTCTCAAACCAGGTCTCAGAGTGGAGATTTTCGGGAAACCCCCGCCACCCCACCAAAGGTGTAAAATTCTCCATGGTGAAGTTGCACATGCGCACTACAGGCGGCTGCAGTCCAAAGTTTCTCTGCACTAACAACAGTTATAATAAATGACAGAGAGCAGAGTGTTTTTGTGCTGCTCACCCTTTCCCATCATGTAGGAGCAAAACTAATCAAATCCAGAGTCCAAAGAGACGTTAGTGTATTCACCAGTTTGGATGTAACTGTCATGCGGACGCTGCATGCACGATGAATGCAGCCTCAGAGTTGCCAGATAAATTTTAAAATGTAATTTTTACCCCTTCCTTTTCTGTGCACATGTTCAACAAACACAACACACATTTCATCTTAGAATATCTTTACTCAGCACATATGACAGTGTAGGTCAAAATACTGTCATTTTAAAGTGACAGTACTATAGTTCACAATTTCTTATCTGGCAACCCGACTGACATGGAATCTACAGCGCTTCTCATGTAAACCCATTAAATTTTTTTTTTTTTTACCCCCAATAACCATTGAAAAACACTTAATATTTCCAGAGGCTGTTCTCGTGTAAACGGGGCCTTATAGTAGGTAGATCACTTTGACTTGGTCATTTTAAAAGTAGCTCACATCATGATGAAAAAGTGTGGGCACCCTTGTTGTAAACAAACAAGTGAAAATAACTTTAGAGATATAAAATCTAATCACAACAAAATAAATATAATCACATAACTTGTTGTAATCTTTACAACTTAATCATCATATTTTATGCTGGAAAATTGTTTTATTTAAATTGTTTTTTAATGTAGCTGTTTTTTATTTTATTTTTCATTTTTATTCAAACAAGTGCAAAGCAATAATTAGTGATTTTAAGAAGGCATTGTTAACAAGTCGTACTTTTTTCATCCAACATAAACTAGGGTTTCATGAAATGTATGAGTCAGTTTAGTTTCAGTGGGTAAGAAAAGGCATTCATCGTCTAATAAGATTTAAAAATTAAGGAATACAAAACTTCTCATCAGAAAATGTTTCTTATATTATATTTTGAACTTTAATATTTAGAATCGGGAAATAAAATCGGATTAGATGAGGATGCAGAAGTTCAAAAAGTCACTATTAGTTTCTTTTAAGTTTGATGTAAACATAAACACACTGATCTGTGTATCTAAACAGGAAGGTTACATTCATGTCCTGATTCTAATTCATCTGTTAGAATTGTTTTAATCTTTCTCTTTTACATATAAATTTCCTAATATAAGTTGAATAAAACTAGAGAAATTGCAGTTTCTGCAAAACTGCTGTGTGATTGCTTATTGCTGAAGAATTTGCAGAAAAACGGCTGAAATTAGCTAAAAACATGCTGAAATGGAAGAACAAGCCTAAGTTAGCAGAAGAAAGCCGAAATAACACATATTTGCTGAATTAGGTTTAAATAAACAGAAATTAGCACAAAATTAGGAAATGAGCTAAAAAGGCTGAAATTAGCACAAACAAAAAAAGCTGAAAATTAGTTGAAAAGGCAGAAAGGAGCTTAAACTGCTAGAAGGGAGTGCAATGTGCTGAAATGAGCTCCAAAATGTGTTTCCTTCCATCGTTGTGTGGATTCCTTCAATTGTGTGGTTTCCTTCCATCATTGTGTGGTGTAATTAGCTGAAAAAGCTAAATTTGCACAAAAACAGCAAAAAAAAAAAGTAGCAGAAAAAGCTGAAACTAGAAGAAAAAAGCCAAAAGGAGCATAACACATTGAAATTAGCATAAAGAAGTTAAATTACCACAAAAAATTTGAATTAATCTGAAAACAGCGAAATTGGCAAAAAAAAAAAAAAAAAAGAACTGAAAAGGTTGAACAAGCTTAAATTAGAAGAAGAAATCAGAAAGAACACGTTTGCTGAAAAGAAGCAGAAATGAGCACAAAAAGTGGAAATAATCAAGGAAAAAAATCTGAAATTGGCAAAAAAAAAAAAAAAAAAAAAAGTCTGAAAAGTACCAGTAGGTAAAAAGGCAGAAAAAGCTTAAATTGCCAGAAGGAAGTGGAGAGAGCATATTTTTGCTGAATTGGGCTGAAAAGAGTTGAAATCGGTGCCAAAAATGTGGAATTAGCTGAAAATCCTAAAATTAGCATTAAAACTGCTAAATCGTAGCTGAAATAGCAGAAAAATTAGAAACTTGCAGAAATTAACAGAAAGGAGCAAAAGAAGCTGAAATTAGCAGGAAGTAAGTAAACGAAGTACAAAAATGTTGTTGTTTACAGAAAAAAATCTAGAAGAAGCACAAAACACCTGAAAAACAGCTGAAAGTAGCTGAAAAAAGTTTAAATTTACAGACGGAAGCTGAAAGAAGTTGAACCAGAACAAAATGTGAAAGGTGCAGTAGAAGGTTGTAAACAGATCTAAAGATTTGAAAGATGTAAAATGAGCTCAGTTCATTTTCTATGAGAAAATTAATAACAGAAAAGCTAAATATTTCAAAACGCTAAAGTTGCACCAATACCAAAAGTCATATCAACCCTTCTCCTGAAGGAGCTGCATGTTTTTATATGATTTGTTGATAGCACAAAAATTGTGGAACGAGAAAGATGCCGAAAAACGTACGGAAGACAAATGGATCTCAATAGTGTGAATGCTTCAAGAACATTCACACGAAGTGTTTGCTTCAGTTTTGTCAGGCTTTTCAAAACCCTCTGTGGCCTCTCACAGGTTCTGGATAACGCCATTGAGACGGAGAAGATGATCGAGAAGTACGAGTCTCTGGCGTCTGACCTGCTGGAGTGGATCGAGCAGACCATCATCATCCTCAACAACAGGAAGTTCGCCAACTCTCTGGTCGGAGTCCAGCAGCAGCTGCAGGCCTTCAACACATACCGCACTGTGGAGAAACCACCAAAGTCAGTGCCATCATGAAAACTCAAATCTTTAGTTTATTCATTGTTTTTTAGAAGATATCCCAGCTTTTCACTGATGTTGCCTCATACTGTGTTTTTGTGTTTGTGCAGGTTTACAGAAAAAGGAAACCTGGAGGTTCTTCTGTTCACCATCCAGAGTAAAATGAGAGCAAACAATCAGAAAGTTTACACTCCTCGAGAGGGAAAACTCATCTCTGACATCAACAAGGTAACCTCACTTGAACCTCACTACTACACTGACGATACGCCCAAGCCAAAGACAATATTCAATAAACTTTTAGTCCCACTACAGATTAATTTGCATCAGATTATTATCAACTCTTGGACATGTTGATGGGAACACGGCACTGAAGTGAACATGTTAAGTTAAAGTGAAAGTGCTGCATGAAGGGCTGCAATACTGGGCACAGATCAGTTTATTTTTAATTTTTAACAGAACTCTCAAGCAGAGACTTTAAAACCAATGAGGACATATATTTTTATCCAAAATCCCAGATGTTGGCTTCATAGGTAGCAGGGGTGTAAATCACCAGCTTTACCACAATACATTATTATATGGATTTGTTTGTGTGATGATACAATATTGCTCAATATTACAAAGTCTGTCACGATACGATTTCGATTCTATTTGATTCACAAGTCTGCAATCGATATATTACAATATCAAATGCCCGTCTCTTTTACATATAAATAAATTTATGCCAGTTGTGTATTTCAATAAATTCATTTGCCAGTTGTTGTCAATTAGATGACGGGTCACAGTTACATACGCTTTGGTTGTACCTGACGTCCATCCATCCGTAGTGACTGTCTGCATTCAGTAACTTACATTTTTAACTTGATTGTACAGTCTCGGTATACAAGTTTCACTGAAGTGCTGCCTCGACGGTATTATATATCTCTGCTCCAAAGTATGCAGTAGTTCACAAAAGCCGTCATTTTTGACAACACTGTGAGGTCTCGTATCTTTACGCATGAAATATGAAATGGCACCTGTGACACTCGTTGCTCTCTTCGAACTGTTGTTCAGCTTTTGTGGGAAGAAACTAGTCAAAGGTGTCGTCTGACATACCATACCATACCATTTTATTTATAGAGCACTTAAAACAGTGACAAAGCCAACCAAAGTGCTGTACAGACAGAACAACAGGTAACACACAAAGCAAAGTACAAAATGAAGTAAATCAGAATATAGACATAAAAACGATGCAGATAATGACGACAAACCAGTGTGGAGCATACAGGATCAAAACACAGATCATCTGGTGTTGAAAGCTACTGAATAGTAGTGGGTTTTTAAACGGGACTTGAAAACCAAGAGGGAGGGGGCCTCTCTGACAAGCAGAGGTAACTCGTTCCAGAGTCTTGGTCCTGCTACAGAGAAGGCCCTGTCACCTCTGCGCTTAAGACGAGTTCCTGGAACTGTGAGGAGCAACTGGTCCGCAGACCTCAGGGAACGTGGTGGGACATACGGTTGTAGCAGATCAGAGAGATGGGTTGGGGGGGGGGGGGGTAACGCTGACGGAGCTAACATGGCTATCAATGCCGTGTTTCTTCTTCAGGTGAACGACCAGATTTCTTGTTTCCCCGAGTATTTTAACTCACACTGGCACCTGTTGCATACGACATGAGTTTTATCTGTTGTCCTTCTGTTGGAATCCAAAATATTTCCACAGTGTTGATTTAAATCCAGCAGGAGAGTGACTTTCATCATTCGTGTTTTCTGCCTCGGCTGCCATGTTGCTGAGGCGGCCGCAGAGCGCAGCCTCGCACAAAAATGGTGACACAGACGTGCCTTGGGAGTTTCAAAATAAAAGCTCATTTAAAAGATGACTATATTAATCAACGCTTTCATTTTGGCTTGATGTAATTGAATCATTAGTCATTTAATCCAGTATCCATGTATTGTTACACCCCTATTACATAGGTCTTTGACTCCCAGAATGACCCTCTGAAGAGCTTCACTGGCCTGGTTGTGTCATTTTTTTAGCTGATTCTGCACATCATGGGTGCGTTTGTTGTAGGCATGGGAGCGTCTGGAGAAGGCGGAGCACGAGCGGGAGCTGGCGCTGAGGACGGAGCTGATTCGTCAGGAGAAACTGGAGCAGCTCGCTCGGAGGTTTGATCGTAAAGCCGCCATGAGGGAGACGTGGCTGAGTGAGAACCAGAGGCTGGTCTCACAGGTAAATAGATGGAGTAAACACACCTGTGAAAAATATGTTTCAGATTGGATCATTTTAAATCATAATCAGTATTTTTATCTTTCTTGTCTCTTTTTTTGTTGATGTTCTGTAATTTCCTTGTTTCCTTGTTTACTTTCCTGTCTCCTCTAATTGTCCTTTCATTTCTCCTCGTTTTCCTGCTTTCTTGTCTCCTGTTTCCTGTTTTCCTCCCCTCAGGATAACTTTGGATTTGACCTGCAAGCTGTTGAAGCTGCCACAAAGAAACATGAAGCCATAGAAACGGACATATCCGCCTACGAGGAGCGCGTTCAGGCGAGTCCATCACCTGATTCTGTCCAAACACAGATGAATCCCTCTGCTCTCTTGATTCAGACGGATTTCACCAAGCAGGGTATGTTGTGTAGAATCAGAAGCTTTAAAAGGTCTCTTCATCCTTTTTCATGCTGGCGCAGGCTGTGGTTTCCGTGGCGAAGGAGCTGGAGGCGGAGAGTTACCATGACATCAAGCGCATAACGGCAAGGAAAGACAACGTGATCCGGCTGTGGGAGTATCTTCTGGAGCTGCTGAAGGCCCGCAGACTGAGACTGGAGCTGAACCTGGGGCTGCAGAGGGTCTTCCAGGAGATGCTCTACATTATGGACTGGATGGACGAGATGAAGGTACAATCAGTCGTTCACATAAAAACGTCATGTTTTTATATTTGAGTAGATAAACTTACTTCTAAATTGGTTTAGTCTTGATATTTATGAGGATTGATTTTTGTTTCTTAGCTTTGAATATTACCTGACAATATGTTAATTTTAAAAAAAAAACAGCTTTAAGTATCAAAAATGCAACAAACATTATTGGCCGGTGTTGTTTTATAGTACGAGCTTACATTACAGCTTTGGGGGGAAAAAATAATTGTATAACACTCATCGTATAGGTTTAAGATTTTTAAAGATATTCATATAATTCAATTCATTTTATTTATATAGCACCAAGTCCCAACAGAAGTCATCTCAGGGCACTGAACAGAAACATTCACATACATAAAAAAAGCCAATTAGTAAAAGTTCTCTATCTAAGGAAGCAGCAGATCGTGTTGAATCTTCACTTCATCTCAGTCTCACATCCTGAGCAAGCACAAAGGAGACAGTGGAAAGAAAAAACTCTTTTAACAGGAAGAAACCTCCAGCAGAACCAGGCTCAGGACAAGCGGCCATCTGCTTAGACCGGCTGGGTTTGAGAGGAACAGGAAGGAGGAACAGATAAACAGAATGACAGGCCCAGGTGTAGTTTCTATAGGAGGAAAGACAAAAAAAAAACATTAAGATATAAAAAATTACAAATACAAACAGGAAGAGTAGAGCAAGTAAAGAGAGCAGCAGAGTGAGGAAATGTGGTCAGTTTGTCCTCCAGCAGTCTAAGCCTATAGCAGCATAACTAAGAGATAGGTGAGGAAACCCAAGCCAACCCTAACTATAGGATTTATCAAAAAGGAACGATTCAAGCCTAAGCTTAAAAGCAGACAAGGTGTCAGCCTCATCGGTAGTTATGGGTTGAACCGCTGGGACAGCGGGCGGTTGAAAGATGACATACAACTTAACATGTCATCACTGGTCAGGTTGGGGAGGGGGCCAGAGAAAACTACGGAGTCCGACATGGTTTTAACAAAGTCACACACCAAAGCAACATTAATTTTAGTGACCACCGATTGGTGTAACCGGGTGTCATTACCGCCGACGTGAATAACAATCTTACCGTGTTTAGCCTTAGCCTTTGTCGCTGGAGTCCCTAAAGCCACGTTTCAGACTATGGAGCTGCCAATAACCAGGGTTTGCTTCTCAGCGGGTGTGTCACTGAGCGAGGAAAATCTATTAGAATCGTGAACTTGGGTGGTGAACTGCAGGCTTAGCTTTAGCACCGCACTTATTCCAGACTGTCACCCAGCCGGCCTGGGGTCCCGGCTGCTCAAGGTCTGCTGGAGGACCGCTAACAGGAGCTAGTCTCTCTGGTTCTGCGCTGTCTAAGGGGACCTGGCTAGCTACTGGTTTTTCTACAGTGCAGAGCCGAGCTTCCAGTTCAGACAGCCTCTCCTCTAAAGCTACCATAAGACTACATTTGTTACATGTATCATTACCACTAAAGGAGGCAGAGGAGTAACTAAACATCTGACACACGGAGCAAGTGATGGAAGCAGCAGCCATGCTAAGCTAACGCTAGCAACAGCTAGCAGATCTCAAATATGCCAATAAAAGCTGGAAGTGTTGAAAGATAAAAGGTGTTTCAAGCACATCTGTACTGAGAGTGTTTGTGAACTAGAATGTAGAACAAAAGACAAGTAAATCCAGAAAAATAAGACTCTTCAAGCAAACAAATCACTCGAGCTACAGCAGAGAAAACAGGAAGTGACACAATATGATTACCACGAACATCCTCAAGGATTCATGTGATATAATCATGTTCATACCACATGATTGTCTCTAATTTATCCTTTTGTTGTTTCTCTGCATCTTTTGACCTTTGACCTTTCTCTCGGCCTGCAGATGCTGCTGCTCTCTCAGGATTATGGGAAACACCTGCTGGGTGTGGAGGACCTGCTGCAGAAACACGCCTTGGTGGAGGCTGACATTGGCATCCAGGTGGACCGGGTCCGAAACGTCAACAGCAACGCTCAGAGATTCGCTACCGACACCGACGGTACCGCAGAATGTTGTAGTTTGTTTGTTACATTCTGTTCTGGTGTTTCTCCTCCTCCTCACTCCTCGTCCTCCTCTTTGTCAGGTTATAAACCCTGTGACCCTCAGATCATCAGGGACCGCGTGGCTCACCTGGAGTTCTGCTACCAGGAGCTGACCCAGCTGGCAGCCGAGCGGAGAGCTCGCCTCGAGGAGTCCCGCCGCCTCTGGAAGTTCTTCTGGGAGATGGCTGAAGAGGTTCGCGTTTTCAATAATATTATGAATAATATTAGTATTATTGGTATTGTTCGCATGCTTATATTCAAAATATTACAGTCAGCTCACCATCTGGATGACCTTTGAGCCATCTCAAATCTTTAACTGTACAGTCTGTGTTTTCATTTGCTTACATAGATACTGTAACTCAAAGAGGTAGATATTTAAAAGTGAGATTGTGTGGAAGGATTATAAATGATAACCATCATACCTGCTGTAGGGTTGTGGTAGCTCATTGGTCAGTGCCTTGCTCTTGTAATCCTGAGGCTGCAGGTTTGAGCCCAAGTTAAAATGATTACCAAATCTTTAACGGGAGTTCACTCGCTGAGCAATGGAGCAACCAAAAGAGAAATCATCGTACATGCTGTAGATAACCCTTTGAACAACCTTAGTTTGGAGATATTCAAGGATTCAGGATTCTTTATTGTCATTCTCATCACGTGGTACATGAGGTGGAACAAAATTATGTACACAAGGTTAGGGGTTGAACGACTACATAATTTTTAAACTCATTATTAACATAATAAAACTCGAGTAGAACTCGAGTACTTGATGACATCATAGGAGCTAAAGATGCAAAAATAAATCAATAAATAAAACCGCAAAAAAAGTCATTAACAAAAAACGACCAACAAAACATTGGGAGCGTATATTTTGCTCCTACCATTTATCATACTGCAAATAAGTCACAGGAAAAACTAAACTATTAGTTATTATTATTAAGCAGTAAAAGTGAAGAAACATGCAGCACGTCAAAAACAAAACTAAAAACAGTGGGGCGGTCGACCACCCCGCACTACCGCCAGCTGTGGTGCGCATTAGGTTTAGTTTTAGAGATTAATATGTTTATAGATTTTTTTAATAGGTTTAGAGATTAATATTTTTTGCTTTTTGTTTGTGAAACAAGGTCAGAGGAAGCTGTTCTGGTTCTGTCATTGGACCCGGTGTTACACCATATTCTGTGACCTGCAACACCGCCTCCTACGTCACAATATACGGTGGTCACAAAATATAGTGTAACACCGGTTCGCAACATGCTCCAAACAGTCAGGAAGTTGATTCATTTTCTGTTTCCTTACGGTAGTAGAACCAGAAGATTCGTCTTTAGTAAAATATTTCCAGACTATTGATGCATTTCTACCTGTTTGCCAAGACTGGACCTGCTTCGCTCCATCTGTCTGCTTGGAGGAATCCATTTTGTAACCCGCGCCCGGTGCAGATCATGTGACGCGATGACGTAATGGCGGCATAATGACGTCACCACGAATACTCGACGTGAAATTAAAAACCTCAATAGGTGTCCTAGGAATCGATGTGTAGATTACTCGAGTAGTCTGTTAAAGCCCTACACAGGGTCCCGGATACATCCAAAAATAGCAAAAATATAAAGTGTAAAAGAAACGGCAAAGAAGGATCTAAGATTTAAACTATACGCTAAACACTAATAGTGCAAAACAACACACAGAAGAACAGCAGCACGATTCTCATAGGTTCTGTTCAGCTATAATTTACACGCTAATGCGAGTGGAGTCGAGCTCAGAGCTGACCCCAAAACTAATATAAACTGGGATTTATTCAAAGCATGCAACAAAAATACAGAAACAAAGCGCCAAAAGTGAAAAAGTAATCTACAGCGGCATGGTCCTATTGGCAGAGTGGTTCTGATGATGGTGAGGTTATCTTAGCAACATGGTCCAGTTAGCACCATGATAATGTTAGCTGTGAGGTTCAGGTTACTGCTAAATTAGCAAATACAGATATGAAAGTAAACGTTGATAAGCTTTTTAAACAATAAATAAGTTTTGTAACATAAAACATTAAATAAATTAAAAATGACACTGAAGTTCAGTGACCTGATCGTCTCTGATGTGAGGTAACCGAGTTGATGGTTCTGGTTTTTAGGAGGGATGGATCAGAGAGAAGGAGCAGATCCTCTCCTCCGAGGATTATGGGAAGGATCTAACGGGCGCTGTGCGGCTGCTGAGTCAGCACAAAGCCTTCGAGGACGAGATGAGCGGGCGAGCCGCCCACTTGCAGCAGACCATCAAACAGGGCGACGAGCTGGTGGCCGACAACCACTTTGGAGCCGAGAAAATCAAAGAACGTATCCAGGACATCCAGGTACTACTGGTGCTGGTCACAACCAGAACCCTCTTTTATTTTGAAAGGAACTAACTGTTGGCTCCTTTCTTCTGCAGGAGCAATGGGCGGCTCTGGAGCGTCTCTCTGCAGTCCGTAAATCTCTTCTTCAGGAAGCTTGCAACCAGCACCAGTTTCAGGTCCAAACACTCGTTCCTAGTTCTGTTTAAAACAAAAACCAGAACATTTTCTCTTCACTCGTACAAGATGGTTAATCAGACGTATAAAGTAAATATGCTGGATGTTGTTCCTGCAGGCTGATGCTGATGACATTGACACTTGGATGCTGGACGTTCTGCGGATCGTCTCCAGCGTCGATGTCGGTCACGATGAGTTCTCCACTCAGGCTCTGGTGAAGAAACACAAAGATGTTGCCGAGGAGATCGGCAGCTACCGACCCGTCATCGAGGCTCTGCATGAACAGGCCCGGACACTACCACCGGAGAAGGCCAACTCTGAGGAGGTGCAGCTGCAGCTCTCTAACTTGGAGCTCAAAAACGTGGTCTCTGCAGTCCCCGATGACCTTCGACCTCTGCTGGTTTTGCGTCTGTAGGTTCAGAACCGGCTCGCAGGCGTTGAGGAGCGGTACAAGGAAGTGGCAGAGCTGACCCGGCTCAGGAAGCAGGCCCTGCAGGACGCCCTGGCGCTCTACAAGATGCTGAGTGAAGCCAGAGCCTGCGAGGTATGGATCGACGAGAAGGAGCAGTGGCTCAACAGCATGGAGATCCCTGAGAAACTGGAGGACCTGGAGGTCATCCAGCACCGGTAAGAACAGCACTGGGTTCCTCACAGTTCGTCCTGCAGAGGAACAACTCAAACATGAAGATGAGATTCAGATTTGAAGTTCCTAATGGATCCACCCTCCTCGTCTCTGTCTAGGTTTGAGAGTCTGGAGCCTGAGATGAACAGCCAGGCGTCCCGTGTTGCAGTGGTCAACCAGGTGGCTCGGCAGCTGATCCACAGTGGACATCCCAGTGAAAAGGAGATCAAGGCCCAGCAAGACAAACTCAACACCAGGTATCCTGATTCATGCTCAATAATCCATCAGTAATCCATCAATAATCCAGGAAGAAAAATCAAACAAAGTTAAATCAGGTCCTCTGGACGGAAGAAACCATCCAGAGGACCTGACTGGGATTAAAACTTGTTTTTTAACCAACATTCAAACCCAGACTCAACTAAATTTTAATTAAACACATCATTAAAACAAATAAAAAAAATTAACTAAACATTTCAAGAACACTAAATATTATTTAACCTAAAACAAAAAAGAGGAAAAAACTAACCAGCACGCAACAAAACAGCAACTTAAAGTGATCAGCAAAGTTAGTATAATCTGGGATTATCATAAAACTAAACAGGGATCAAACCAGCAGCAGAAACCTGATTTCTTGCCAGTGTTATTGGAATGAAAAGGAAAAATGAGATCGGAGTAAACTCAGGTCAAACTGTAAATAATTACATTTAGTGAAATTGTGTCTAACAGTTTTTATAACCAAGAGCAGGTGGAAGAGAGCCTGGAGAGGTAGATGGATGTAGTCTAGAATGACATGCAGATGGTTGGTGTGACAGATGTAACAAATATCTGAATGTTTGTTCAAAATAAATCAACAAACTGTTTCTTCTGTTAACTTGAGGATTGATCGGACTGCCAATGAAACTAACGATAATTTTAAAATGCTGTCCGGTAAATTGATGCATGAAACGTATAATCTCTGTCTCTGTCCATCATTTCAGGTGGAGTCAGTTCAGAGACCTGGTGGACCAGAAGAAGGAGAACCTGAACTCTGCTCTGGGTGTCCAGAACTACCACTTGGAGTGTAATGAGACCAAATCCTGGATTAAAGAGAAGACCAAGGTACAGAACAGAACCGGTCTGCCTTTGCAGCACTTCGTTTCTCCTCAACCCAAAACAAAAACGTTATCATGAAATATTTACCGTATTTTCTGCCATACACGTCGCACCGCCCAATAACTTGCATCAGTCCAAATATGTCTAATGAAGTAGAAACATCCATAAATACATTGCTTCCCTGTATATGTCACATCTATTATGCGTCACTGCTGACAACCAGACATGTGGGCCAGTGTGCCAAAAATCGATAGGCTGCCATATGGCGGCCGCGGGAGCATGCACGGGAGCACTTTTACAAGAATTTAACAAGATTAACACCTAAAAACAATTATTTGTTTGCTCAAAATTATAGTAAAGGTGTGTCTCAGTTTAACGTTTCCTTAATAAAAGGACTTTAATGGTCAAATCAGCTGAATTTTCAAAAGTATTCAATGCCTCGGTGCTCCGGGAGCGCGCAGACAGGGAGGAAATTAGGAAGGAGGAACACTGCTCAGTTCTTCTAAATTTAACAAGATAAGCACCTAAAACAATTATTTGTTTGCTCGACTTTATAGCAAAGGTCTCAGTTGAACTTTTACTGAATAAATGCACTTCAATGGTCAAATTAGCTGAATTACACCGAGGTGGCGCATCAAAATGAAGCTGATTTGACTGTTGCTCCAAGCGAGCTGTACGAAGATGGAAGACTATGGCAAGATGATTGTGTCATTAATGTTCACTTTTACCTATTACATGACACACCAGCATGCCATACAACTCCAGTGCCATCTAGCGGCTGAAAATGGTAGTGTTCAACTTTTTCAGTCAGGATGAATGAAAACGGTCATATCTCAGCCAAAAGTTGGTTTATAAATATGAGAAAAAAATCCATAAATATGTCGCTTCAGCCTATAAGTCGCAGGGCATGCAAATCATGCTAAAAAAAAAATAAAGACTTGTATGGTGAAAAGTATGGTACTTAAATGACTGAAGTTCAATATTGTATTCCGTACTTTATAGCAATTTATTTATATTTGTATATTTAAGAATACATAAGAATCAGTAGCTGATGAACTTTAGAATACTACTGTTTTTTCTTTAGTTTGGTGCATAATGGCATTCCAAACAAAGGTTCAGGATCCATTAATTAATATGATTTATTTAGTGTTTGTCTTTCACTGTCTTTGACATTACAAATGACTGAACTTCTCTGCAGGTGATTGACTCGACCCAAGAGCTGGGGAACGACTTGGCTGGTGTCATGGCTCTGCAGAGGAAGCTGACTGGGATGGAGCGGGACCTGGTGGCCATCGAAGACAAGCTGAACGACCTGGGCAAAGAGGCAGAGCGCTTATCCTCCGAACACCCAGAGCAGTCTGAGGCCATTAAAGGACGTCTGGATGAGATTACTGGCGTCTGGGGCGAGATGAAGGTTGGATGCTTCTATACTTGTAAAGATTTTCCGTATGTTTTGTTCAGTGTGAAGGCATTTATTTCCTCTCGCTTGTTAACAGGACTCGTTGAAGAACCGCGAGGAGTCCCTGGGCGAGGCCAGCAAGCTGCAGCAGTTCCTTCGTGACCTGGATGACTTCCAGTCATGGCTGTCTCGAACTCAGACCGCCATCGCCTCTGAAGACATGCCAAATACGTTGACCGAGGCCGAGAAGCTGCTGGCTCAGCATGAGGGCATCAAGAACGAGATCCGTAACTATGAGGAGGACTACCAGAAGATGCGGGACATGGGCGAGATGGTGACGCAGGGTCAGACGGATGCCCAGTACATGTTCCTGCGACAGAGGTTACAGGCGCTCGACACCGGCTGGAACGAGCTGCACAAGATGTGGGAGAACAGACAGAATCTGCTGTCCCAGTCTCACGCCTACCAGCTGTTCCTGAGGGACACCAAGCAGGCCGAGGCCTTCCTCAACAACCAGGTAACTGGACCAGGATCCTCATCATCACCCGTGCACATCAACTTTAATCCATCTGGTCAGATCCATTCCCAGTCTGAAAGCTTTTCCGTTTCGTTTTTTCCTCTTTAATTCAATTTAGTTTATTTCTGTAGCACCGAGTCACAACAGACCTGCACAAACACATTCACACACGTTATAAAAACCAATTCGTAAAAGTTATCTATCCAAGGAAACCTCTTCAAAATATTTAATTTAGCACAAGTTGACAAAGGTAAAAGTTGAGTTAAGCTCGGGGATCTGAAACATGCAGCTTTGAACCACGTGTCCTCAGCATGTCTCAGTGGCTCATTTAACTTCAAATAAAAATATCATGAACCTGAAATGGCTAATGATTAAATCTAGTTTTACTTTGTGTGTATGTAGACTACATACACACAAAGTAAAACTAGCTTTAATCATTAGCCTTTAATTTAACCATTAAGTATACAATGTAATTATGACAGAAAAAGGAGGATTTACCTGAAGTTACCTTCGTTCAGATGAACATGTGGTACTTCCTGTTTATCACTGTTGTATTCAGCTGCTCATGAGGTCGACCGCAGGGCTTTATCATCTTTTACATTTTTCCACACTCAGTTGAGGTTTTATATTCATCCTCTAAAGCAGGATATTCACTAAACTGCTCAGGGGCCGGGCATCCAGCATAAAGTCATTATGTAAATAAACCAAGTTTTATTAAGTTTTATCTGTTACCTTTTTAATTTGTTTATTTTGTTGGATTGAATCATATGCAATAAACAGAAACCAAAAAACAATCTTTTTTTTTATTAATCTAAAAACATTAAATCTGGTCCTCTGGACATTCAAAAAACCCCAAAGCAAAACAACAAAAAAATTTAGAAACGTTTCGTCTCTCATCCGAGAGACTTCTTCAGTCTGAGGTGCTGTTTTCAGCTCAGTCTCTTAAATAGCACCTTCTCAGAGTGGATCAACCAGTTTTGCTGCTGACAACCAAAACCAGCTGATCACATGCTCAAGAAGGACCATCAGCCTAACAATGGATCATTAGCACACTGATGGCTGTTTACTACTCACAGATTTTTCTACCTGGATTATTGAGCATGCATCAGGATACATTTTTTTTTTACTTTATTTTTCAGGTGTGCTGAGTTTAAATTTAGCAATGCTTGAGAACCCCCTAAAGAGGCTAAAAATCACCACTGCTGTATTTGTGTGCAGCAGAAAAACAGGACATTCAGGAGTCAGAGTTTCTTTATTTGTCATTCACACCACATGTGGTACATGTGGTGGAACAAAATTGTGTACACAGGGTCCCATTTACATCCAACAAAAGTATAAAATGTAAATGAAAAACAGTAATAAGATCTAATATATGAACTAAGAAAAACGTTAAACTAAAAATACGCTAAGCACTAGTAGCATTAAAAACAGTACACTGAACAGCAGCACGAACATGAGTCTGTGTGAGCAGATGAGCACGCCTGAACACAGCAACATGAAACAGATCAGCAGCAACATGTGATTTTTTTTTAAAAAATTTTTTTACAGAAATTATTCTGGTTAGAGATTCATGAGTCTAACAGCCTCAGGGTAGAAGCTGTTCCTCAGTCTAGTGGTTCTACACTTAATGCTTCTTAACCTCCTTCCTTAGGGGAGCGGAGCAAAAAGTGTGTGCGCTGGGTGTGTGGGGTACTTCATGATGCAGGTGGCTCTTTTCCTGCATCTGGAGGTGTAGATGTCTGTGATAGTGGGGAGACTGACTCCAACAGTCTTTTGTGCAGCCTTCACCACTCTCTGCAGAGGTTGGGCTCCCACTCAGGTTTTTAACAGAAATTAGGTCGTCAAATTCTGTAAAGGTTTTTATAAAAGCTAAAATTAGTTTTTCATTCTCTTAAAAATGACTAGATTTTAAGGCTTCAAGAAGGACTTATTAGCAACATACAGCATATTTTATATAAATATAATAAAAACAAAGACTTTATCTAAGTATAGCAGTCATCCTAATTGTCCGTCCACCATGGAGGAGCAAAGGAGCAGAGTGACTTGTCGAGAAGAAACGATGGTGTAACTCTGGAGGCTTGTTTTCATCTGGAAGAAACTGCACCCATTTAATTTTGTTTTTTACTGTCTGAAGGTTTTTTTTTTTTTTACTCAAGTTGTCACGTCTTTGATCAAATTCAGTTTTTGTTCCAACATAAAATGTACAAAGTAAAACCTAAAAGCAGTTTTGGGAGGTTCTGTGTGCCTATTGGAAACCTGAAACCGTAAATTAAACACAAACATCGTGAAGAGTTCTTTCCAGTTTAGTGCTCCTGAATTTAATGGCATTAATTTGAAAAGAGCAGCTTTTGATGTTATGCTAGTTTAAACTTAATTCAAAGTCTTTCCAACCATCTTGGGTGGATCCGTTCAAACCTCAGTCAGGTTCGATGGATCGTCTGAGCCTGCCATCTGCTGGTAGAAACCTTTCTTACAGTAGCAGAATTACGCTGGTAAAAATGCAGTAAACCTGTGACCAGTAAAGGAACTTCTACAAACACCAGTTTTATTTGTTAATGTGAGCAGACCACTTGGCACTGAGCTGAAACTCATTTTCCGTACACTCCACATGCCACCAAGAAGGTAAACTACCTGCGGCCACAGACGGTGAAATCTTCTTCGTGTTTCTGGTTCAGGAGTACGTCCTGGCTCACACGGAGATGCCTACCACCCTGGAAGCAGCGGAGGCCGCCATTAAGAAGCAGGAGGACTTCATGACCACCATGGATGCCAACGAGGAGAAGATCAGCGGTGTGGTTGACACGGGGCGCCGCCTGGTCGCAGATGGCAACGTCAATGCCGAGCGCATCCAGGAGAAGGTGGACTCCATTGACCAGAGGTGACAGATGTTTTTTTTTGTGTGTGTGCGTGTTTATTTTTATTTTATTTCTTCTTTATTTAACCAGGTAGATCTCATTGAGATTAAAATATATTTTCCAAAACACAGACCTGGCCATTAAAGGCAACAACACACAGACATTACCAGTCAGTCTTACCAGTCAGAGAGGATAACTCACCTGGTCCGGTAGTGGAGGATTTTATTACATGGTGTGACAATTCATATTTGAAATTAAATGTCTCAAAAAAAACAAATTTATGTGTATAGATTTTAGAAAGAAGTCCAGTCCAGCACCTTCAGTTCTCATCAAAGATGAAGCTGTGGAGAGTGTTTCATCCTGTGAATATCTGGGAGTTGTCATTGACAAGAAGCTGACATTCAGTGGAAATATGGATAAAGTTGACAAGAAAGCTCATCAAAGACTTCACGTCCTTCGCAAATTGAATGAGTTTAGAGTGTGTAAAAAGCTGATGATTATTTTCTTTAACTCTCAGATTGAATCTGTGCTCACTGTTGCTTTTATCACCTGGTTCAGCAGTCTGTCAGCAGGAGACAAGAACAGGACGCAGCAAATTGTAAAAGTAGCAGGCAAAATGATAGGAGTTACATTACCTGGTTTTAAAGACACTTTTTTTTTTTTAAGCGAGTCCTACAAAAGGCAGAACACATTATTAACTCTCCAACTCACCCTCTCCATGGCAAATTTGAGCTCCGTCCATCTGGGAAGAGATTCAGGCAGCCCAAATCAAGAACAAATAGATGAAAAAACTCTTTTATCAGCCAGACCATTATTCAGATACATTGTAAATGTAATCAGGCTTGGTTCAGCCTGTTTTATTGATATTTGTACATGGATTTTTTTTTTTTTTTACTGTTTGTCAATTTTGTGGTGTGATTGTTTGTGTTGTGTGTTAATTTTCTCGCCGCCTTGCTGCAAGGAAAATTTCCCTAAGGGGACAATAAAAGTGATGATGATGATGATGATGATGAGTCATAAAACCAAAAATATCAAAGCACAATTAAAATATATTCTGTTAAAAATAATTCAATAAATAAACAAAGGATTAAAATAGATTTCAATATCAGTTGAGGTTTGTTCTTTCTATATAGTCCTTTTATAAAAGAGAATGCATTCAAGGTCACCAAACATTAGAGCTTCTGTAATGTAAAAAAAAATATATACATTTCCTGCTTGTGATTTTGTAAATGCTCTAGATTTGTAATTGATTTGGTTGTTAATGGTGAAAACGATTGGTTGCAGCCATGCAAAAGATATTTAAAATATTTCATCCCATCTGAAATAAGCTAAACACCATTTGAGTTGTTTCTGAGCCAAATTAAACTGCTTGAACTGGTTTCTTCTCCACAGACGCCAGAGCAACCGACAGGCTGCCAACGACCTGCTGACGAAGCTAAAAGACAACAGAGACCTGCAGAAGTTCCTGCAGGACTGCCAGGAGGTAAAGCCCAAATGATCTGAACTGTTCAGAGTGGGAAAGATTGACTGGTTTGTTCATTTTGTGGCTGTGCCTCCTCAGCTGTCGCTGTGGATCAACGAGAAGATGCTGACCGCTCAGGACATGTCGTACGATGAGGCCAGGAACCTGCACAGCAAGTGGCTCAAACACCAGGCCTTCATGGCCGAGCTGCAGTCCAACAAGGAGTGGCTCGACAAGATCAACAAGGTTAGAAAGAGCAGCAGGCAGGGAGGAAAAGGCAGAGGAGCATCCCACACAGACACGTCAGTGCTGGAGATGACTCCTGCTTCAAAAATTCTCCTAAAGTGTGTTTTATCAGTCAGGAGACCGACATTCAACATCCAGAAAAAACACACTTACTGAGACAAAACTAAAATAAACTACTTGAACGCTCCGTTATTAAAAATGTTGTGATGTGTTTCCTTCACTTGAGGTTCTTAGCACACATAGCTCATATCTTATATACAGTAGTCCCTCGTTTATCGCGGGGGATCCGGTACCCTGAAGTGAAAAACCACAACGTAGGAATAGTAGTACAAGTAGTAAGTAGTAGTTTATTTTATTATTTAAATGTATATTTATTAAGGTGTTTTTAATCCTTCCCACACTCTTGCAATATTCTAAACAATGCGTCTAAACTCTAAACGCTCTAAAGAGAACATTATGTCATGATTTCAGCTCCCTGCCTGCAGGCGCTCTTGGCCACACCCACTTCTCCGCTCTGCACGGAGAACAGCTG